AATATAAAATACATTATCAAGATTATTTGAGAATAAGATAGTGTCAAATTACACGATAATACATAAATAAAAAAATAGTTGAACATGAGTTAGGGAAGAAATCAAGAATGAAGATCTTATTACATGGAGATTACAAACAACCTTAGAATTGTCAATCAATTCCTTAAATTAACAAGATCAAAATCCCAGCAAAAAAAAAAAAAAATGCTGCATCCTATCAAGTAACATTTCAAATAAGATAGAGGTCGGTAAGTTCCTCAAGGGAACCCAAGTTGAGATTTGGATCCGAATTCTCTAGCATCCACAAGAGATGATCGAACACAACTACCTCACACTTGATCACAAGCACATCGTCCTCTCCATGCTTTTGTCTTGATCTCTCTATCAATGCATTCACCAGAGGATGATCCAAGTACTTGGAGTTAATCACGTACCGCTTCCTCGTGCTTCCCACGTATATTATGGTGCTCTCGTGACATTCATCGCGATCATCTTCCTTGAGGCGGCGCCAGAAATCTTCTTGCCTAGCAGAGTTGGACCGAAGGCTGCTCAATGAACATGATCTCACTAGCTGCAGCCTTGATAGGCTCTTGCATTTCCGAAGGATCAAGTTGATCTTTTTCATGGTTGCAGCGTATAGAGATTGAAGTAAAATGGAAGTAATGAATTGATCATGAGATGAGAGGAAGATGAGGCGGAGGAGACTTGAGGGATACTCAGAATGGAATTTGGTGCTTAAATGGGGATAGGTGTAAAGTCATTGTATTTTTTTTTGTTGCTGAAAACTGTGGCCTATATCTCACTTTTGCAACCAAACATATTGATTAGATGACAGAAACAAGTCATCTTTTATATGTAATTAATAATTTCTGCGTTTGGTGGGTCTTAATTATATGTACATGCCCAACTATCTACCCCTCAAAGCCTAAGAGCTTGAGGGCAACTCCCAACCTAGAACTTGTAAACAAATTCCACGCTCAAGTATTGTTCAAAAAAATAAAAATAAAAATTATACACCAATATTAGCAAATAGACAATTTTTTTTAAATAAAGAGTACAAGGTAATTAAAATATATAGAAAAATATATTGCAAGTCATTCTCTTGAATTTATTTTGTATACTTGTCTGAAAATTTTATTTTTTAATTAATATTTTTAAAAATTAACTGTTAAATTATCATACATGTTAATTTTTAAGTTAATTTAGCTAGCATTAATCTATTCATTGGTTGCTCAAATTTAACACCATTAAATATACATCAAAAAATTATGTTTATTCAATCAAAAAATTATAAGTATTAGATCAATATAAAAATTAATATGTATAATATACATGAAGAAAACTTTTAATTTAACAATCAGTTTTTGAAACTATTAATCAAAAGGTGCGTTTTTAGAAATATCTATTTAAAAACTTACCTTTTAATTAATATTTTTAAAAATCAATAGTTACATACAAATCACATATGTTAATTTTTAAATTGATTTAAAAAACCTACTTAATTTGTTGATTACACAAAATAAAATATATATTAGTAACTAAAATTGTTTTAATTAAAAAATTATAAATATCAAATTAATAGAAAAATCAACATATATAATGTGCCTGAATAAAATTTTAGACCTAACTTTTAATTTTTTTAAAATATTAATTTGAGCGTGACTTTCCTATACAAAATGGATGGGGTCCATTACTTATTTTCAAAAGATAGTATTATAGGGACAATTTTTTTTGTTCCTTTTTTTATATAATTTTTAAATGTCATTAAATAAATAAATACATTTAATATCATGGGTTTCACATAAATTAAAATAATTAATTATTTTATAATATATTATGTTGTATAAAAAAACAAAATAAAAAAATTATACAAAATTCATTTTCCTTTAAAAAAAAAGTGAGGGTATATGAGAAAAAAAGGCTGATTGTCAAAAATTTAATTGGATCACGAAAACAAAGAAGCCCAGTTCTGGAAAGCTAAACCCAGTGTTTGCGGACCTAAGATAAACAAAAATTTAATCCGTGTGCATCTATTGAGTATCGGGTTATCTTTCAGATAAAATTCCTTGAAACTTCTGGCCTTGAACATCCATATTAGCATTCAATATGCATGCTGGGACAATTT